ACCTTTATGTCTTCAGCAAAAAGACCAATGTTATCTTTCTGTTGTATCATCTGCAAACACACTGAACAGAACAAGATCTAGGACTGAATCTTGTGGTAGGTACATCGCTTGTGACTGGTCTCTGTTTAAACAGTGTCCCATTAACAATCATACACTGGAATCTATCCCTAAACCAACTTCCTATGCACTGAACCACCACACAAGAAAGAAAAATTGTAATGAAATGCTGTATTAGAGACATTGGAAGAAGACAGTAGATGCGCTTATATATCAGCAAGATTTCACATTCTATTATACATATATTTATGTATGCTTAAATCTTGGTTGATTTCCAAAGGCCCAACAAAAAACAGAACTCCACTACTCTTGCAGATGCATTATGATCCATCTATTCTCCTGAGAAGATACTCTACAAATGTTCACCTAGATTGCTAAAGACAGCTTTGAATCCACAGAGAATTATAGAAAGCACCATTCTCCCATTCAATTTTGTAGCAAGCTGCATTAAAGCAAAAAATTGACACTTAAAAAAAATCACTTTCCAAAACCGATTCAATATGCAATGACTAATTGTGCAATAATTATTTTGAGGGACAGTGAATAATATTAGTATTTTTAAAATTTAAGATTTCAGAGATGAATGACAAAGAATATAACAAGGATATTTAAGAACTTCAATCTGCAAAATACAACAACGTCTAAGTGAATATTGTAAGCATTTTAACTTATATATAAACTTTACCACCCCTTGAACTTTGAATCTTGTTTCATTATCTTCCAGTATAACTTTGGACAATATTCAAATTTAAAGAAACAAGGGATGGTATTACAAAGTCTTAAAGAACAAAAGGAAACACACACACACACACAAAGTCAAAACTAACTTCCTGTTATATTTATATTCTGCATTATCTTCAAAGAGTCTGGAGGTTTACAGATAAGTTCCAGCTGATCTCTAATTGCTTTTTGTTTCTTCAAATTATGTACCTTATTATGGTTTTAAATTACTGCTTCTGTTGCTAGTTCTTATCTCTTTCAATATGTTTAGTTTCATCTGCAGTACAAATAGAAATCCTGCTCACGTAGAATTATAACTTCCATTTTCAAAACTCAGCCTGAATGTGGCAGTGAATTTTATCAACAGACAAAACATATTTTTAAAAAGAATTTATTACTTATGCTCCTGAATATTTAAGATAGCTCTTTAAAAAAATTTCTTAACTCATCTTAAGATGGTATGTGAGCTACAATTATTTTATTTTCCAAGAATCCTCTTAAATTATACCACAGAAATATTCTTCAAAGATTATGCTTGACTGATGTTTTTACATCATACTATTTTATATTTTACAGAAACACAGGTATAATGTGCACCTACTAGACTGGACATGGGATCTTAGAAATAAAATAGGATATCAAAATGTGAATTGGTCAATAGTTTGGGGTGATTTTATTCTAGAAATATAGCTACAGACATGACAGGTGAAAAATACGTGCATTTAAAAAAAACCTATATATTTTCAAAAGGTAGGTATAATAAAATAAATATTACAGATTTTTCAAAATAGAATTTATATGTAGTAATTTTAACTTCTGTGACAAATGTCTCCTGGAAACCTATAGCTTTCCAGAAATAGTCAAGGAATTTTAAAATTGCATTTATCCATTTCTTTTCTTATTATGCTCAGTCTTGCCATACATAATGCTTATCTAGCCATTGTTTCACATATGACAGGCCCAAAGAGTGTGAGTTTCAGCTTTCTGATAATCAGGTAATCTGTCTTTTATTTGTTCAGGACAGATTGAGAGATTCTTTTTGTAGTTCATAGTACTCCTTAGATAAGTCTGAATTATGGTTCCAGAGGTACTGGTAGCTACTATCTTTCTTTTGTCTCTCATTCTTTCTCATTTTCCATTTTTCAAGGGAAAAACTACTGCTTTATGATTCTGATTTTTATCATACACTTTTCTTTATTGTTTATGTTCCTAAGTTTACTACTGCTTTCCTGTAAGATTAATCTTCCAGTGTCTGTTATATTTTGCAGAGTTCAAGAAAACAAAATACTTTGCCAAATTTGTTATCAACTATAAATCCATCAAAAATTTTAAATGTTTATTTTCCATTTTACTTGCATAAAGTCCTGTAAATCTTCTTTATTTGGGATAGAAATGTGACATTTTTGTATATTTCAATTGTTTAGTATTTCAGCCTCCAAATTTGATTTTTGCTGTCATCTCTTCCAATCTTGCCATTCTGCCATAATATAATCACTCTGAAAATTAAACAGAGATGTATTCTCATATTCTTTCCTAATTTGTATTATTCTCCAAACTATGTTCTTATGGTCCTGTCATGTTCATTTGTATAAGTTTCTCAAATAATAAAGTTACTCTGGCACCCTCATTAGCTTTAATGCATGCCACATGCTGGGATCACCTACAAATAAAGACCACTGTCAAGAAAGCAAAGGTACACTTCTTCTCTTGCTCTATTAACAACTTATTTTCCCATCTGATCTGTTTCTGTGACCCACTGGTTTTTTTTTCCAAAGCTCCTTTCATTTCACTTTTCCTCTCTCCAGGTATGGCTTTATTCTTTTGTGTAAAATATTAAGCAAAATGTCACTATTGGCACAATAGTTCAGTAACTTGTGTATTATCTTCTTCAGTCTGGATAAATACATTATATTTCCCAATATTGTGGCCAAATATTCATATTCCATATTTGTTGATATAATATTGTTAGTCAGTTAGCTACCTGTTTGCCTGCAATTTTATAACAACCAGTTAGTATTTCATATAAACATGGGATCACAATCTATTACCCCTCATAGATCATTTTTCTATGGTAGTGCAGTCAGTTCCTGAATAAATTATCTCTACAAATGACTGCCATTTTGCAAGCTTGATTCTTTAAAGGCTCCACAGTCTTTCCATTTTCCTTTAACTTCATTTGTCTCTATTATATCTTTACTAATTCTTGAACAGTCCTATTTCACCTATAAATATTCTAGAGATTTATTTTCCTAAAACATTTTTCTCATTTTTATTTTCTTGTTATTTTCCTGAACCTATTGATGCTTTTAAGTGAATTATCTGGGCACATCATCACTGCCATGTAGATTTGAAAAAATTATGTCCACTTTTCCAGTAACCAGAGGAATGTCTCCTGGCAGGGTTCCCAACATTGGAGAACCAAACTTATATATGTTATTGCTATGTAAATACAGTTTTCTTGGCAGCATTATAGGAGTTTATAAGAAGTTATATTTAGATTATCTATAATCTGTGGGAAAGCTGTTTAGCAACATTACAGATGTCATCAGTTTAAGAATTCACTCCCAGCTGCTTACACCAAATGCTCTCAACCATAAAACACTATACTTTGGCCTCTTCAAACCTGAATCTTCTCTTGTTTCCTGCCCAGCAAAGGCATTCTAATAGCCACATTGTTTCACTTGGAAAATTCAGATATCACTTTCTCTTCAAGAATGAAGAGGGGTTGAAAAGCAGTCACAGTTTCCAAAGACCATAGCAACTGACAATAACAAGTCAATTTAGTCACTTGTAGCATAGGGCAAAAAACTTTAGATACAATTCTGTACTGTTGAAATTACACAATTTATTTCTAAATAAATTTAAGATTGCACTGAATTAATCAAGGCATGCTTTTCAGCAAGGAACAGAAGATTGCCCAGTGTGTTTGAAATTCAGTGGAAATGGACTATGATGGCAACATAGGCCTCTTTAGTATTTATCCTTAAAACATTAACATGCCATTTTAAAGTATGTTTAATATAGGCACAAAATATGGTTATTTGTGGTATTTGTGGCAGGGGAGGAGTTGTAGAGTAAAAGCCAACTTTTCCCTTGTTTTCAGAAGCTGGCACTCTTGTCAGTCACCAAAAATAATGAGGTAGTCTACATTACTATTACTTACATTATACCAATTTCAAGCTAACCATTTAATCTCATTTTATAAAGAATCATCACCTACATATTCATTAATATATTAGATAAACAGCTAGGTTTCAGGGCGCATATCAAGTTAAATGTGGAAGATGCATGTTAGCAAGATGTTATTATTGCCTGTAACCTTTTGTACTAAGCATTTTTACTCAGTGAAATTAAAGAAAGAACACTTACTTATATGTACTCCTGTTGCCAAAATTTGAAGATGACAGTTATATTAATATTTTTTCCTGAAGCTAGTTTATTTACCTTCATTTGCATTTACCTCATCTTATTCTTGTTTCATACAAACCTACTTTCCTCCTGGACTGAGGACGAAATCTTACAGAGCTCCAAAGTAGCTATTGATTCTTTCTCCTTCTGCATAGCTGTCTTTTGTGTTCTCAGAGAGCAGACAAAATAAAGCTTAAAGAAATACCAATGTCATTCTTAGACATTAGAGAGAAATTCTTCAAGACTATTATCTCTAGGCTAGGATTTATTATTTAACCATCATAAGAAACTTTTGTACTTTATTTTACTGCAAGTCTTGTTGTTTATATAAACAAAAAAGCAGGGCATAAATTTAAAAATAGCTATAAATATCTGCCTTAAAAACAGACAAGTGGAGACATGTACTTGTAATCTCCCTTACTCTTTGTAGACATAACATTTGTCGTTTCACAGCATTTTACTTCTGTCGGTTGTGGCATACCATCACCACTCTCCCAGGGACCATTAGAATTAGGAAGAAAAGATAGTCGAGCAGGGAGAAGACAGTTATGCAGGAGAACGTCAGAGGTCCGTCCAAAAACAAAACGAGAGGAAATAAGAGATTTCCCTCTCCTATTTTAATTTCCCTACGACAGCTTCAGAAGGAGAACGAGAAGTGCCCAAAGTTAGCGCCTCGTGGTCAGCTCACGAGGCTGCAGAACTTGGGACTTAGAACTCCGGGATACAAAAGACAAGCGACTCTGTCCCATCCTGGAGACACAGCCCCAGATCCGTTCGCCCGCTTCAAAGTGCACCGTTACCCCCATTTCTCTCACCTTTACAAACAGGCGAACTAGGGCTCTTTCTCTCCGGAGAGGCCCTGTTTTGCTCCGGCGAATGCCGTCGCTGGCGATGCCGGATTTTTCCTCCCGTTGAGACGGCGGCGGCACAGGCACTGCCTTCAGGCACCGGTGGCGAAACCGGGGACGAGCAAGGCGAGGGCGTCGAACCGGGTAGGGGCGGCGCCGGCAGGCGAGGGGGGCTGTTACGCGCCCCTCCCCCGCCCGTAGGGCTGCCGCGCGCGGAGCCCGAGGAAGAGGACAAGGAAGGTGCCCCTGTGGCGGAGACGCCCGCCCCGAGAAGCGTCTGCGTGCCCACGGCCGGACTATTGCTACTGCTGCTGCTGAGATTGGTGTTGCCCCCGCGCGCGCCAGCATTGCTGCCGCTACCAAGCACCGATCGCGTGGGGCTGGTGGCACGCGCGGAAGGCAAGGGAGGCGGCGGCGGCGACGGTTGGAGTGGGGCGTTTGCTGCTACCGCCACCGCCGCCCCTCGTGGAATGCCGCCGCTGCCGCTCCTCGTGGGACTGCCGTGCTGCTTAAGCTGGAAAGGCACAGTGGCCCGCATAGGCTGTAGGCGGCTGTTGGTGCCGGCTGCCCCGCCTGCCGCCGCCGCCGCCGCCGTAGTCGCCGTCACGGCCGCGGCTCCCCCTCCCCCCGCGGAGGTGGCTGAAGTCGGGGAGCCGCTGCGCCTGACGCGCGGCTGGGAAGACATCCTGGTCTTTTCCGGGCGCCCGCCCGAGGCCGAATCAGTAGTAACAGCGAAGCGAGGAAGCAAACAAAACCCCCTCCTTCCTCCCGGTCCCTCCCCCACACCAACACTGAATCCTCACACACGGGGAGACACTCGGCAGGCTTCTCCGGCCGCCTCATCAACAATAGTAGCCTCACTGGCCTCTCCCATTGGAGGCGCATCGGCTCCGTTCCTGCCGCTACAGCGTCCTGATTGGCTGAGGGGCGTGGTCTGGGGTTGTGGGGAGGTGAGGCTTAAAGGGCCCGATCTGGGCAACGTAAGAGGGAGGTGCGTGAGTCGTATGACAGGGCGCTGTGTACGCCTGTGTGCCTACTACTCGATTAAGGCAGGGAGGGAGGGGACTGGTAATGCCATTGATGCAGCGCACCCGTAGTCTTACATTTCGTCTAGGTAGGAAATGCTGAGTGCTTGTTTACATTTCTATCCTAGGCACAATATCGCAGCTTTGAAGTTAAATATATGAAAGAGTCCCGTGCAGTTTCATCTTTTGGCCACATTAAAGCCGAATAAAGACCTATTCAGTAGGTCTGTAGCATGTTCCACTCCACCCGGCAGAAATCCCAGAGGAGTGTGTTGCTTCCTGTCCCACAGTCCACCAGCCCATCCACCACTGATCCTTTGCTTGTTCCAAAAAGAGTCATGGAACATCAGGTACACTAAACCTCCCTTCCTCTGATAGGTTCCAAATGTTATCAAAGCCAGCAACTATAGAACTATATTGAATTATTGGTTTAATTAGCAAACAACTGAGTATTACAGTCAGGGTTCCTCCTCTAAGCTCCCAGGTAATCATCTTGCTTAGGAATAAAACAATGGTGGCTCTAAATTAATTCTAGTTCTCTGCAGCTTGCCAACTGCCTATCTTTGAAGAAAGCACTAGTATAGATTAACATATGTGATAGCCAGATTGTCATCAAGCAATGTACTGTGATGGCATGCTCCACTGAAGCGTAAATCAGGTAACAGACATCTAGTGTTTTATGAATCCAAATTTGTGGATCCAGAAAGCTGTGGCTTATCTTAACATGATCAAGCACATTGTGTGAATATAGCCATTTTTTCTAATAGCATATTTTCACAGACACATGCATATACGCATAAGAAATATACAAACTTGAATACAGGTGAAACTCGAAAAATTAGAATATCGTGCAAAAATTCATTTATTTCAGTAATGCAACTTAAAAGGTGAAACTAATATATGAGATAGACTCACTACATGCAAAGCAAGATAGTTCAAGTCGTGATGTGTCATAATTGAGATGATTATGGCTTACAGCTCATGAAAACCCCAAATCCACAATCTCAGAAAATTAGAATATTGTGAAAAGGTTCAATATTCTAGGCTCAAAGTGTCCCACTCTAATCTGCTAATTAAGCCATAACACCTGCAAACGGGTTCCTGAGCCTTTAAATGGTCTCTCAGTCTAGTTCAGTAGGAAGCACAATCATGGGAAAGACTGCTGACCTGACAGTTGTGCAGAAAACCCTCATTGACATCCTCCATAAGGAGGGAAAGCCTCAGAAGGTAATTGCAAAAGAAATTGGATGTTCCCAAAGTGCTGTATCAAAACACATTAATAGAAAGTTATGTGGAAGGGAAAAGTGTGGAAGAAAAAGGTGCACAAGCAGCAGGGATGACCGCAGCCTGGAGAGGATTGTCAGGAAAAGGCCATTCAAAAGTGTTGGGGACTTTCAGGAGGAGTGGACTGAGGCTGGAGTCAGTGCATCAAGAGCCACCACACACAGACGGATCCTGGACATGGGCTTCAAATGTCGTATTCCTCTTGTCAAGCTGCTTCTGAACAACAAACAACATCAGAAGCGTCTCACCTGGACTAAAGAAAAACAACTGGTCTGTTGCTCAGTGGTCCAAAGTCCTCTTTTCTGATGAGAGCAACTTTGGCATCTCATTTGGAAACCAAAGGCCCAGAGTCTGGGGGAAGAATGGAGAAGCACACACTGCAAGATGCTTGAAGTCCAGTGGGAAGTTTCCACAGCCTGTGTTGATTTGGCTGGTGTTGGTCCACTGTGCTTCATTAAGTCCAGGGTCAACGCAGCCATCTACCAGGAGATTTTTGAGCACTTCATGCTTCCTTCCGCAGACGAGCGTTATGGGGATGCTGACTTCATTTTCCAGCAGGACTTGGCACCTGCCCACACTGCCAAAAGCACCAAAACCTGGTTCAATGACCATGGGATTACTGTGCTTGATTGGCCAGCAAGCTCACCTGACCTGAACCCCATAGAGAATCTATGGGGCATTGCCAAGAGAAAGAGAAACATGAGACCGAACAGTGCAGAAGAGCTGAAGGCCGCTATTGAAGCATCCTGGTCTTCCATAAGACCTTAGCAGTAATTGCTGAAAAAGGGGCCCAAACCAAGTACTGAGTACATATGCATGCTTATACTTTTCAGAGGTCCGATATTGTTCTATGTACAATCCTTGTTTTATTGATTGCATGTAATATTCTAATTTTCTGAGATTGTGGATTTGGGGTTTTCATGAGCTGTAAGCCATCATCATCACAATTATGACAAATCATGGCTTGAACTATCTTGCTTTGCATGTAATGAGTCTATCTCATATATTAGTTTCACCTTTTAAGTTGCATTACTGAAATAAATGAACTTTTGCACGATATTCTAATTTTTTGAGTTTCATCTGTATATACTGTAATAGTTTTGTATTATTATTCCTTTCAACCTTCACAGTTTTTGTTCTGTAATTCCTGGCCATCAGTCATATTGGTCTTTGGCTGATAAGGATCATAATCCAATATTTCTGGTGGCACCAGGTTGGCTTTACCTGAGTCCTGCCACATTGAAAACAAAACCAAATTCCTCATCCCATGCTACAGCAGTTCTTTGAATGCCTGGAGCTGCAACATTGTCCCATATTAAATATCTACTGAGTCTGAGAAAAGGGTGTGGGGCTGCTTGAGGAATCAAATGAACAAGTTTAAACCTGATTAAGAAATAATATTCATTTCCCACACCCTGTGTAACCCACTCTACGTCTTATTGCTGCATGAAAAAAAGGAAAACCTGTCCATCTGCTACTGATGCAAGTTCTACTAAAATATTTATTTGCTGTATTTTCCATTCTTCTTAGCAAATATTTTAGCTATGCAGTAATCATTTGTGGTAGAAATTAAGGTAGTATAAATTTTAGAGGCAAACTAGGGCTGTGCAGTGCTTCAGTGGTAATTAGAAAAGGGCATTTGGGAGCAACCTAGCACTTCTCTGCAACTCTTTCAAAATTGTATCTTTTTCCTAGAATTGCTCCTCAACCTCCTTGCAAGTACTGTATAATTCTTGGAAAAGACTAGACATTTGTACATAGATTATTTATTTATTTAGCATATGGCAAATACATGGACTTATAGTAGTTCAAATGTTAAACGCTCTTGATGGACATTCGGACACAAAGTGATTAATATTTTGTCGAGGAGCACCACAGTCACACTGAGGGGTAGAGACAAGACCACACTTAAACAATGAGTCCTGGCAGACACCGTGTTGGGTATGGATTCTGTTCAGTGTACATAGATATTACATTTGTATTTCCTCTGTGCTCCAAGGCACCTTTTTGGAATTCAATCCAAAACTTACATATGTTAGTATGCCCAACTAAGCTTACCAGCACTATTTTCCTGTACAGTAGTAAATATTCTGTCCAAAGCTGCCTTATCAATCTAATCAGCAGTTAGATCCATCAACCATTTGAAATTATGGTCTATTTTCACCATTGTTTGAGTGGCAGTCATAGTGACTAGATTCACAGATTTTGAGTGTAACTTTAACCCAGTCATTTCTTTAATTATGAATTGTCAGTAAAACCTGTTCAACATTGTTATACTCTTCCATTATTAAAATAAGAACAATAGACAACCATGACTATTGAGTCATAATTTCAGAGATATTTCTTTACCAGATTCCTCAGTGCCTTCAATAATGGCAGAGCTTCTGACAATCCTGTTTGTCATACATATTATGGCATAGAATACATGTTTTATATACATTTATACATTTATACAATGTTTTCTATTTCTAATCATCCGTTCTGTTAACCCTACTTTCTTTTGATTCTAGATCCTTCCTTTTTTCCCACCATTGATATAATTTATCCCATACTTCATAAGTATTCTGTCTCATCCTTATCTTTCATTTCCAAAGTTAATTTATCCATCTCAGCGCGTGTCCATATCTTTCTTATTACCTCACTTTCATTGGGAATTTCTTTATCTTCCCAATTTTGAGCAAAGGCTAACCTTGCTGCCATGATCACATGTATTATTAAATAAATCTCTTTATTATATTTTTCTATTATGATTCCAAGTAAGAAAAATTCCGGTTTATATTCCATTTTATGCTCTACCATCTCCTCAAGCCACCTCTGAATTCTATGACAAAACTCCTGAGTTTTTCTACATCTCCACCATGTGTGGTAATATGATCTGTATTCTTGGCTACATTTCCAGCAATTGGGTGATATATTTTGATACATTTTGGCCAGTTTTCTGGAGGAAGATGCCACCTATCTATAAAACATTTTATATAGGTTTCCTTTATACAATGTGGCCAATGCTATTTTTTTGTTTCTCTCCCATAAAGTTTGCCATTTATCCAAATTAATACCATGCCTGAAATTTTTAGCTCACACCAACATTGTTTCTTTTACCTGCTTCTCCTCCAGCTTATAATCCAGTAAGATTGTCAGGATGATCACATCATGTCAATGTTTTTAATAATTTACTCAATAAAACTTTTTTGTAAAAACCAACAACAAAAAACAATGGCAGAGCTTCTAATCTACTGCCTTCCTGGAAAAGTTATTAAAAATTTAAGGTGATATTCAGAGATGTATCTGTCTTGAAAATAGCACAGTTAAACTTTAAGAGTTGATCACAGGAAATATTTTATGACTTTTGTATTATATCATTAAATGTTTTATGGTAATATTTACGTCATAAAAAGTTTTATAAAATTTTCCAAATTTCAACTCATGAGTGCTGAATTTTGGATGCATTCTATAAGTTGGCCAGTTTAAATTACCTTAATTCAAAATATATTGCACCATTATCCTTAGTTAAAGGTTAC